GCTCCGGCGCGCTCCCCGCCTGCGTCCCCTGGGATGTTTGGGGGGGATGAGCCGAGGGCAGGGGCTCTGCAATGAGTTTGTGCTGGTGCTTCCCCCCGCTCCTCTCCTGCCCCCCATTAGCCCCTGCGCTGGCAAAACCCCTTCGGTGCAGGAGCCCGGTAGCTGAGGGGAGGATTTGGGCACCGGGCGATAGCGACCCATCCTGCGGCTGACAGCGGGGTGTGTGGTGGGGATGGCAACCAGACCCCTGTGGGGGGGGTGACCACCCATTGGGGATGGAGCAGAGGGGGTGGTGGCGGGGAGACGGACCCCGGCAGCCCCAGGGGACCCCCCCAAGGGCCTTACCGGTGACGGGGAGGGCGTCAGCGGGGCGATGCTGCAACTGTCGTGGGGCGTCCCCGGGGAGCCGGGGGGGGACGGTGTGGGGCACCGCTCGCCCTTGGCACCTGGGGACACAGCAGGGTGAGGCTGGGGTGGGAAAGGGCCCCGGCTCCTCCCGAAGCCCCTTCCCCAAGGCGAGGGCAGCGCGTGACATCGCCATGATGGCACTGCCGGTGCAGGTTTGGCAGCGGAGGGGTCCGTGCTGCCGCGGGGGCTGCTCCCGGGGGGCCCCGCCGATCTGGGCTTGGGGGGCTTTCCATGCTGTTTTCAACCACACATAAGGAAGGATCTAATCAGCACTGATTAATTAGCAAACGAGGAACCCCTCGGAGGTGCCATAAGGAGGGGCAGGTAGCGGTTACCCCTGGTGTTAGTGCTGGGGAGCTCCGAGCGATCTGTCCCTCCAGGGACGGGGCTCACGCAGGGGATGGGGCTGGTGGCCCGAGGAAGAGCTGCAGGACCGAGGGGCCTCCTCCTCCCGGCGGGGGGGTGTCCGCTCTTGCTCAGTGTGAGGACAGGCCTGGGGGTCGGTGGTGGGGCGCCAGGGAGGTCTCCAGCCCGCTGCTGCAGGCAGGCTTTGGTGACGAGGCACGGGCTCGCTGTTGTCTCTGTCACCGGAGGGGAGCTGGCATGTGGGGTCACATCCTGGGGCCCGTAGCGAATCTGCAAGCCCGGTTTCTCCCCGTTGGCCCCACAGAGACCCTCGGCAGGGGCTGCGGCTGGGGGTGCTTCCCCACAGCTGAGCAAACCGGGGTGGGACGGGTCCTTCCGTGCAGGACTGAAGGGGACCGGAGCAGTGGAAGGGCAGCGGCTGAGGGCTGGCAGAGGAGCAGCCAGGTCTAATTCTGCGCAGCTGATGACAGAAGGGCCAGGACTGAAAACCCAAGGTGTGTTTGTGGCAGCAAGGGACGTGGTGGCTCTCCAGAGCCGCCTGGTTTTAGATCAAGGTGGCCATCGGCACGTGAAGGCACGCTTGTTCAGCTTGGGAAGGGCTGGCAGCGACAACTGCAGAGGATGCCGGGGGCCGCTGAAATGCTCGTATCCAGTGGGAAAAGCTTGGGAAAGAGCTGCTGGGGTGTGAGGCCATGGAGACCCAGCTCCTTGTGGAGGGGAGCTCGGAGTGAGCTTGGACCCGCGGCCATGCTGCAGGACAACGCGGGGCAGGGGAGACCCGGTAGCTCCCGTGTGAGCCCCCCGACAGCTCGAGGCTGAGCCCCCATGGGGAGCGCAGGGGGGGCTGGCGCTGTCCCCGTGTGGGGACAGGCATGGCAGTGCAGTGGCTGCGTGGTCACCCTTGCTCTGCAGCGCCTGGCCCCGTGG